CGGGTCTGCCCGGGGTGGGCGTGTGCCGGCCGCGGAGCCGGGCGTCCCCTGGCTGCCCGGCGCCCCCCGCGTGGCTGCCGCCTCCCGCCCCCGATCGCCCCTCGGAGCCTGGGACCCGCCTCCCCGCCCCCATCCCACCCCCAAAGATACAAACTTTCCCACCCGAGCGCCCCTCGGCGGGCTGCCGGCCGCACCGGTCCGCCCTCGCGGGGCCGTCCACCTGGCTGCTCCGCCGAGTGTCCGGGCTCCGCACGCCGGCCGCCGGGCTGAGCGGGCACCCCCCGGGGCGGAGGAGGGGCCGGCCCGCCCGGCAGGGCGTCCCCCAAGGCATGCGTGTCTCTCCGTCGTGTTCTTTTTCTCCGGGGGGCTGCGAGAGCTAACTTACCTGGAGGGGGTCGCGGGAGGAGGAGATCGGTTTCAGATGTTTGAAATAAAAATTTGACGGGACAGAAGTTTTACAACGTAGGACTTGAAGCAGGTTATAATGAATGCAGTTGAGATTACTTTTGTTGAATAGCTCTTTTATGTTCAGGAAGACCTTAGGGCTTGCTTGTTTATGGGAAAACACGTTGATTATTTTAAGGGAAATACACTAAAATAACAGTAAAACTGGTCGAAAAACTAGTTAACGCCTCTTTTTCAAGGTAACAGCAGTATTATAGGTTCTATACATTTTTGTGGAGACTCACCTTTTTTAAGAGTTGTAAATTTTAAAGAGAATTCTACTCTTTTGACTGTTATTCATTCAGAGTTCATTAGAGGATAGGGAATAATCAGTTTCACTTATTTAATTTTATTTAAGGTCAGTTTCACTTTCTTTTCTATGTCATTGAATCAAGTCTACACAGTTCTGTAAAGGTTTAAGGCTTATTTGTTTTGTTGTCTTAAAAGTAACTAAAATCAAATGTGTGTCTTCCTAAAGTTTGTACAAGAATGTGGATTACATTGTTTATGAAGAAGCAGAGTGTAACAGTTTCTTTTTACATGTATTGCTATTACCTCAATGTATGTGGAGTGCCTCAATGTTTAAATAACATGTATGTATTAAAAATAAAGAATAATGCATTCTGGCATTTGGTAGGAATACTAAGGGAGAAATACCATATAAGAGACTGAGAAGTTTAAGACTTGAAAGAAAGCAAAGGAAACACAGGTGAAGTCAGTTTGTCTCATTCCTCCACACATCCAGCCTGCATTATGTAGTATTTTTTCCCCCTCAAACATGCTTTTTTTAGTTTTGGTATATCACCAGAATATGTTGAGAGAAATTTTAACTTTTCACCGAACTGGTTGCTTAAAAGTCCTGAGATTTATAGCAGAGATTGCGACTTCGCTGAGAGTAAAGAACATGTAAGGGTATGTATACATCTTGGGTCCTGCACAGCATTGCTTGGTTTCTAGAAAGGTTTTATAAACTCTGTAGCTGATGGAATTTAGTTGGATGCCTCATGGTTTTAGGGTAAGAATTCATTGGCCAAATGTACAAATGAAGACGGATGGATGGTTTTGGTTTGTTTTCCCAAAATTATAATACTCTATGGTTATTGATGACTGAGTTGTGTGCATTCCTTAATTTTTTTTCATGTAAGAACCTCTCCCTCCCCTCAAAAAAGGCAGTCGAGCCAGTCAAATCGTTTTACTTGGTTATTTGTTAACGATTGTCCTGGAGGGATGTCCAGCCAGGGAAAATCAAGGTTTTGCTGTTTAACGTCATTGTAAATAAGCCTTTCCTTATTGCTGTTTTGGCTTTCTTCTTTTCCTCCTCCTTCCCTTCCTCTTCCTCTTTTGTTTTCTTACTCTTGTCTCCACACTGTTTCATAATTTCTTTTGACTCTGATGAGGAAAGTGTAAATTGTATTTGGGTAATATGGCTCAAGTTTTCGTCCTGAATGAAGGTCCAGTATCTTTTATAAAATATTTTTGTTTCTTTTTTTTTCACTTTTTCTCAGTATCTTAAATTGACTTAAAATTTCAGTTCACTTTTTATTTTATTAAGATCTAAATAACCTCTACTTTTCTGTTTTTATGTAAGAGTACAAAAAACTTTTAAGGTTACACCTTTTACAGGGAAGCAGTCGTGCCTTAATTTAAAATTATAACAAAATGTTGAGGTTTTAAAAAAATTTGTGAGCAGTAGCACATTGTAACATTTGTTGAGGTGGCATATACATGGGTATTTATTATCCTTTTACTGTACTGAATATTTTTAAAGGGCTATTCCTACTTTAGAGTTATACACACACACACACACACACACAATTTTTTTTTTTTTTAATTCTCACCTGAGGATATTTTTCTATTTATCTTTAAGGTAAATAGAGTGGGAAGGAGGGAGAGAGAGAGAAACATCAATGCGAGAGAGACACGTAGACTGGCCGCCTCCTGCATGACCCCGACCAGGGTCACGGATGAATTGCAACCAAGGTACATGCCATTGACTGGAATCAAACCATGAATCTTTGGTCATGGACTGATGCTCTAACCACTGAGCAAAACTGGCCAGGGCACTACTTCAGAATTTTTAAAGGATTAATCGACATACTGTACATAAATCATTCGGCGCAAACTGGTGCTAAAGCAAACACTGGTTACTTCCTATGTCCAGAATTGACTAATTTGTTCAACACATGCACGGAAAGCTTTCTGTATGTCAGGTTGGGGGTACAAATAAGAACATGAGCCCTTGCCTGTTTGGCTCAGCGGTAGAGTGTCGGTCTGTGGACCAATGAGTTTTGGGTTCGATTCCAGCCAAGGGCACATACCTTGATTGCAGTTTGTCCCCAGCCTTGGTCAGGGTTGTACAAGAGGGAACCAGTCAGTGTGCCTCTCTCACATCAATGTTTCTCTCTCTCTCCCTGTCTCTCCCTCCCACTCTATCTGAAGATAAATCGAAAAATATCCTCGGGTGAGGATTAAAAAAAACATGATGGGGAGCAGCAGTAGGTGTTGAAGAGCTGCTGTATAAATCAGTACAGGTGTGCTGGGGAGCCTGCAGGAGGGGTTGAAACCCCGTCTTGGAGGAGGAGGTTGTCAAGGAAAGTGTCCCAGAGGAAATGAATTTTAGGCTGAACAGTGGAAGTGTTTACTGGCTGGAGTTGAAAGGATGGAGGAGAGTTAGGTAAAAAGAAACATCATGTGCAGAGCCCAGAGAGAGCAGGTGGGAATGAACCTCAGGGAGTGTTTACAGAGGTTCCTGGGTCAGGTAGTGCCAAGGCTAGGTGTTAGGAGGATGTTGTGCCACGGGCAGTCAGCACACCTGAAAGGTTATCTACAGAGCAGTGGCATACCAGATTTAGTGGCTACTGGGCAATTTCAGAAACATTCTTAAAAGTTGCCTCTTGACCAGGTTGGTATAGCCAGAAGGAACCCCAGCTAGGAATGTTGGACCTGGTACCTAGTCCCAGTTGCTGATTAGTTTGGGTTATACTTGGTGCATTTTATAGACTCTGTGGATGCTGTCCAATCTCATAGGTCTGTTATAAAAAATTAAATATGTTAATGTATGTACAGCAATTAACACAGTGCTCAGCACTTAAAAGATGCTCAACTCATGGTAGCCTTAAGATTTTAAGATAGGACTCACAGAGAAAATCAAGTACTTTTTTAAAATTTTTTTAATCCTCACCTGAGGATATTTTTCCATTTTTTGTACAGATAGAGTGGGAGGGAGAGAGAGAGAGAAATATCGACGTGAAGGGACACATCAAGTGGCTGCCACCCGCATGACCAACCAGGGCCGGGGACAAACTGCAACCGAAGTACGTGCCCTTCGCGGGAACCGAACCCGGGTCTCTCTGGACCACAGGCCGATGCTCTAACCGCTGAGCCAAACTGGCCAGGGCAAGTACTTTTATAACATACTTGTGTTCAGGTATGATGCCAGTAATATGGACTTCATTTAAAAAGTCATATATATCAAATAAATGAGTCTCTTCAGAAAAATGTGCTTCAGGGGTGAGACTTCCTATACTTTAAAAATGCAATGGAGCCTGGCGGGTGTTGCTCAGTGGATTGAGTATCATCCCATGGACTGAGAGGTCCTGCTTAGATTCCTCCATCAGAGTATAAGCCTGGGTTTCCACCTCGATCACCAATAGGGGGTGTGCAGGAGGCAGCTGATCAATGTTTCTTTCTCATCAATGTTTCTCTCTCTCTCCCTTCCTCTCTCTGGGAGGGAGGATGGACAATATAAACATGTTTAAAAAATAAAAATTAAAAATGCAGTGTATTTCAAACAATGTCTTTCGGACTTTAACAAAATTAAAGCTAGATTTTCTCTTTGTGTAGTTGAGACTTTTCCCTGAGGAATTATATATGGGTTGAAAATGGAGTCACATGCAGTAGTGCATTTCACATTCTAGTTTTAATTTACAAAATTTTTAATTTTATTATTATTTTTTATCCTATTATTTTTCCATGTTTTGTTCAGATACAGTGGGAGGGAAAGAGAGGAAGAGAGAGAGAGAGAAACATCGATGTGAATGGGACACATTGAGTGGCTGCCTCCTGCATGGCTCAACTAGGGCCAGGGACAAACTGCAACCGAGGTACGTACCCTTAGCAGGAACCGAACCCAGGTCTCTCTGGACCACAGGCCGACACTAACCGCTGAGCCAAACCAGCCAGGGCTCACATTCTAGTTTTAAACAATAGAGAGAAAATATAGGTACTTAGTAAATGTATAGAATTGGACATTGAGGTACCTGGTTATAAATGAAATATCAGAATTTTAAGAGGAGTGGAATAGAATGGCAATTTATAATAAAATATTTCATTGAAAGTTATATAATGAAAAATTATATATATCTTCGGGTTAGCACAATACTAAATGTCCCAGGGAAATGATTACAAAGTGAAAAAATACTGTTGCTTTTATATTTGGATGATTTGTTTGATACTAATTAAACATGGCTAGAGTAACTTTTTGAGATCTAATGGTAGAGTAAGCAGATTGCTAGTCTAATCTTATGAAACAAATATATGCTCTTCATCTTTTGCAGAGTTGAGCAATGACCATAGTTGACAAAGCTTCTGAATCTTCAGACCCATCAACCTATCAGAATCAACCTGGCAGTTCTGAGGCCGTCTCACCTGGAGACATGGATGCAGGGTCTGCCAGCTGGGGTGCTGTGTCTTCACTGAATGATGTTTCAAATCACACACTTTCTTTAGGACCAGTACCTGGTGCTGTAGTTTACTCAAGTTCATCTGTACCTGATAAATCAAAACCATCACCACAGAAGGATCAAGGTACTTTTTTTTTTTTTTTTTTTATCCTCACCCGAGGATATTTTTCCATTTTTTGTACAGTTAGAGTGGGAGGGAGAGAGAGGAAGGGAGAGAGAGAGAGAGAAACATCGACGTGAAGGGACACATCGAGTGGCTGCCACCCGCACGACCAACCAGGGCCGGGGACAAACTGCAACCGAAGTACGTGCCCTTAGCGGGAACCGAACCCGGGTCTCTGGACCGCAGGCCAACGCTCTAACCGCTGAGCCAAACTGTCCAGGGCTTTAAAAGGCAGAATTACTCCAAGAAACTGCTGTATAAATGTTGTCAGTGGGTTGGTAGTTGCAGAGGGGGCTTATTTTGCACAATGTGTTGCTGCCTGAGTGGCCTACAGAGTTACATTATGATGGGCTTCATTTCCCTCTGCTGCTTATTCATGAGTAACATGTGTATCATAATAAAGTAGATTATTTTTAGTAACTGATATTTGTAGTTTTTTTTTATTTTATTTATAATTTGTTGAAGGATAAACTTTATATTGGTGTGAATTGAGATGGGCAAGAATTTCATTAACTTGTCAATTAACTATAGTTCCCTAAATAGATGTCTGTCTTTTAAAAATTTAAAGATGTTTTCAAAAATACTGTTGTTGTTTTGCCAGTTAAACTCATCTGTGGTAATACAGCTCTTTGAAAGAGGCCCTTATATCGGTTTGAGCCTTCTTAGTAAATGTGCTATGGAGGTGAGGGGTGTAACTTGATGAAAGTGTTTTGGGTTGGGGAAAGTTTATATCACAAAACACAATTTAATTGAATGTTACACATAAAAGTTTCAAGACCTTCACCAACAAGACTTTCCTACGACATCTTCTCACAGACTCTAGCTGCCGAGGCTCCTCTCTCACTCAGGACTTCGTTCACATCGCCTCCCCTTGCCCTTTGGGGACCTCTGTTCTACTCTCTACAGACTCATTTCTCTTTTCCTAATTTTGCTTTCCATTCCCCACCAAGCTGAAGCCTATCTTTGTATACTTGCACACTCAATATCTCTGTTACAATAGAGAACGAACTGTTGGGCATCTCAATCTTTGGTAGCACCAAAGAACTGGCAAATGTTTAAAAAAAGTAGTCTTGCTATAGATGAGTTTAAGCTTTCCTAAATAAGTTGTTTTTTGAGCTTTATCTGAGTTTTATTAGAATATTGTCATTAGCAATAGATAAAAAATTATTTTAGACCGTGTGTAGTATACTTAACAAGTGTATATAGGGGTGCCCAGCAGCCTGAGTTCATAGCCTAGTTCCTTACTGGTAAAATGGGGATGACATCACTACCTACCCTGACAGATAGTAAGGACTCAGGAAGTGAGAGGATGATGGTGTACTGAATATAAGCATCCACAGTACATGTTATAGAGAACTATCTCATCCTGTACTTTCTGTAGATTGTGTTATTTATTTTTAAAGTTAAAAAAAATTTTTTTTTTCTTTATTGATTTTAGAGAGAGGAAGGGGGAGGGAGAGAAACATCAGTGAGCGAAAACATCACATGGCTGCCTCCTACATGCCCCTCAGTGGGGATCGGGCCCCCAACCTGGCATGTGCTCTGACAGGGAATTGAACAGGTGACCTCTTGGTGCATGGGTCGACACTCAACCACTGAGCCACACTGGCCAGGCTTTTTTAAAAGTTGTTTATTTTTTATTTTTTATTTATTTTTATCCTCACTCGAGGATATTTTTCCATCCTTTGTTCAGGTAGAGTGGGAGGGAGAGAGAGGAACAGAGAGAGAGAGAAACATCGATGTGAAAGGGACACATCGAGTGGCTGCCACCCGCACAACCGACCAGGGCCGGGGACAAACTGCAACCGAGGTACGTGCCCTTAGCGGGAACCGAACCCGGGTCTCTCAGGACCGCAGGCTGACGCTCTAATCGCTGAGCCAAACCGGCCAGGGCTAAAAGTTGTTTATTGTGAAAAATTTTAAACAGGCATAAAAGGGAGAGTATAATAAACCCTCATGTATCCATCAGTCTACTTTGACCTTTATCAACTCATGGCCAGTTATACCTCTCTCTCACTCCTCTCCCATCTACCCATCATTTTAAAGCAAATACAAGACTTCATATTTCACCTGTAAATATTTTAGTGTGTAGATCTGAATCTTTCTAAAAATTAAAACAATTTTATATTAAAAATTTAGTCAGTGTTAAAATGTCAACACCCAGACAAGGTCTGTACTTTGCATTTGGTGGATGTCTTTTAAGTTTCTTTTCATTTGTAACCTCAGCCCCCCATTGTCCTCTCAATTTATTGAAGAAACTAAATCACTTAGAGTTTCCCACATTCTAGAGTTCTGTCTTTCTCCCCTGTGTTTCTGGTTAGCTGGTAATAAGATTTAAAATCCTGATCAGATTCAGGTTTGATGTGTTGCTATTTATTTAGTTTCAAAAACGTGCAAAGCTTTGTTTTTAAATATTGGTTCTTTATTTTTCTAGCCCTAGGTGATGGCATTGCTCCTCCACAAAAAGTTCTTTTTCCATCTGAGAAGATTTGTCTTAAGTGGCAACAAACTCATAGAGTTGGGGCTGGGCTCCAGAATTTGGGCAATACCTGTTTTGCCAATGCAGCATTGCAGTGCTTAACGTACACGCCACCTCTCGCCAATTACATGCTATCACACGAACACTCCAAGACATGTAAGTGTTTTGTGTTATGTTACGTGTGTATTGTTGTGGTATACTAACCTACTTCCATTTCTTCTCTGAAATGAAGGGAGGATGTAAGCCAAGAATTCTGTGACCACTAAGCAGCAGGTTCATTCTTTTAGAAACCATGTGGGAAGCCTCTTTTAAGATTTGTATTCAGGTTGTATAAGAAGCATTTTTGCACCTAATTTGACCCATGAAGTTATTTAAAAACAAACATATTTTATCAGCATTTGGCATTTCTGAACCCTCTGCTGGCTTTCTGTACTTGCTAAAAAATATGACATAAATGTCTGTCACCAATAGCTTGGGACAAGCAGTATTAAAAATCCTGCCTCTTCTGTGTTGTAAGGCTTGATTCATCTACAGGCTTATAAGTGGAGAGGAACCTCTCGTCACTGCCCCCAGCCTCCTGGAAATTCATAAAGGACTTTCCCTTCAGCATGTGAGAGCTCAGTTTTTAACCTAAAGGGCAGGAAATCAGTTCAAACATATTATGGTCCTTAATTAGGTGAAAGCCAACTCTGTGGTTGACTAGCAGAATTCAAAATTTAGAACATTCCTGTTTTTTGAGGTTTTGACCTTCTATACAAACTGTAAATATCCTTCAACCTTTGTAAGTGAAATCTCCCTGTTCTTTGATCTACCTTGAGCCTCATATTTGCATGTGTGTGTTCAGGTGGCTATTCATTATCAGGGTGAAAAAAAGCCCCTTGGTTTCTTTTTGAATAATTTTTAATGGAGAATTTAAACTGGTTCTTTTAAAACTGCACCCCCACTCCCCACCCTGCAAAGAGCAAAATAATGCTTGTAAAGAATTTGGAAAGTACAGAAAATTTAAAGAAACCAAAGGAAAATCACCTTATGTTTCACTGCTTAGAGTTGTTTGTTATGCCAAAAGGTTTTAAGTTACAGAATGAACGTTCTATTTGCCTGAATTTTCTCCCTTTCTAAGTCCATAATTCATTCCCCACAGACAGCTTTCCTATCACTTTTGTGCTTAATGAAAGTAGGGTGTGGATGAATACTCAGCCCTGGCACCTGGACAGCAGGAGAGAGGACCAAGACAACAATTCAGAAGCTCCCTGTGTCCAAAATTAGGTGTCTGTCTTTTTATGCTGTTGGTAGTTTTCTCTCTTCTATTTCCCAGCTTTATTGAGGTATAACTGATATAAAATAAAGTGCACATAATTAAAATACCAGTTTGGTGCATTTTGACATTTATATACACCCATGAAACTGTCACCACAATTAAGATGATGAACCTATTCATCACCCCCTGAAGTTTCCCAATGCTCCTTTGAAGTTACTCCCTTCTACCCTTTTCTGCCCCTCATTCCCTCCACCTCTGGCTGTCTACTAGAGATTAGGTTGTATCTTTTAGAATGTCATATAAGTGGGATTATACACGGTATATATTCTCATATTGCCTGGTTTCTTTCAGCACAATTATTTCTACATTATTTCATGTTGTTGCATGTATCAGTAGTTAATTTTTATTGCTGAGTAGTTTTCCATTGTATGGGTGTACCACCATTTGTTTCTCCATTCACCTGTTGATGGACATTTAGGTTGTTCCCCATTTTGGGACATCACAAATTAAGCTGATATCTTAAAGTGGAATGGCTTTGTCCTATGGTATGCCTGTGCTTAACTTTAAGGTACTTCCAAACTGTTTTCCAAAGGGATTGTGATATTTTACATTCCCACCATCAGTGAATGAAAATTTTATTTGCTCTGTTTCTTGCCTAATATTTGGGGTGATCAGTTTCAATTTTTGCCATTCTAATAGGTGTATTGTATAGTAATACCTTACTGTTGCTTTAATTTGCACTTCTCTAATAAGTAATGTTGAACATCTTTCTGTATAGTTTTTTGCCACCCATATATTTGCTTTGCTAAAGCACCTGTTCATATCTTTTTTTAAAATTTTTTTTATTTAGCCCTGGCCGGTTTGGCTCAGTGGTTAGAGTGCCCGCCTGCGGTCCGGAGAGACCTGGGTTCGGTTCCCGCTAAGGGCATGTACCTTGGTTGCAGTTTGTCCCCGGCCCTGGTTGGTCGTGCGGGTGGCAGCCACTCGATGTGTCCCTTTCACATCGATGTTTCCCTCTCTCTCTCTCCCTCCTACTCTGTTTGTACAAAAAATGGAAAAATGTCCTCGGGTGAGGATAAAAAAAAAAAAGAAGAAAAAAAATAAATAAATTTTTTTATTTAATTTTTTTTTGTTTCACTTATTTTTTTTTATCTTTATTGTTGAATGTATTACAGATGTTCCTCATTTTCCCCCCATTGACCCCCTCCTCCCCACTCCCGCCACCCCTCTCCTGCCCTTTTTCACACTGTTGTCTGTGTCCATTGGTTATGCATATAGGTTCTTTGGTTTATTTCTTTCTACCCCCCAACCCCCTTCTCTTTGAGGTTTGTCAGTCTAGCAACCAATTTGTTCTTCTTAATCCCTTCACCTTTTTCACCTCTTCCCCCAACTCCCCTCCCATCTGACAACCAACAAAATGTTCTCTGTATCTATGAGAATGTTTCTGTTCTGCCTGTTCATTTTGTTTGTAGATTCCATTGTCAATAGCTATGTATTCATTGCCATTTTGTTTGTTCATATATTTTACCTTTTTCTTCAAAAAGACCCTTCAATATTTCATATAATAATGGTTTGGTGGTGATGAACTCCTTTAACTTTTTCTTGTCTGGGAAACTCTTTATATGGCCATCGATACTAAATGGCAGCTTTGCAGGATAGAGTGATCTTGGTTGTAGGTTCTTGCTTTTTATCACTCTGAATATTTCTTGCCACTCCCTTCTGGCCTGCAAAGTTTCTTTTGAGAAATCAGCTGACAGTCTTATGGGAACGCCCTTGTAGGTAACTAACTGCTTTTCTCTTGCTGCTTTTAAGATTATCTCTTTGTCTTGAACCTTTTGCATTTTGATGATGATGTGTCTTGGTGTGGGCCTCCTGGGGTTCATCTTGTTTGGGACTCTCTGTGCTTCCCGGACTTGTATGTCTGTTTCCTTCACCAAGTTAGGGAAGTTTTCTGCCATTATTATTTCAAATAGGTTTTCGATTTCTTGTTCTCTCTCTTCTCCTTTTGGCACCCCCAAGATGCAAATGTTGGCATGCTTGAAGTTGTCCCAGAGGCTCCTTACACTATCCTCATTTTTTTGGATTTTTTTCTTTTTGCTGTTCTGATTGGGTGTTTTTTGCTTCCTTATATTCCAAATTGATGGTTTGCTTCTTGGATTTACCTACTCTACTATTGAACCTGTGTAAATTATTCTTTATTTCAATTAGTGCCTCCTTCATTTCTGACTGGTCCTTTTTTATGCTCTTGAGGCCCTCACTAAGTTCGCTGAGGTTCTCACTAAGTTCATTGAGTATCCTTATAAGCAATATTTTGAACTCAGCATCTGTTAGGTTGCTTATCTCCATTTTGCTTAGTTCTTTTCCTGGAGTTTTGTTCTATTCTTTCATTTGGGACCTGTTTCTTTGTCTCCTCATGTTGGCTGCCTCCCTGTGTTTGATTCTGTGTATTACTTAAGAGAGGTATGGGGCTAGCTGAGACCAGATGCTGCTTGTTTGAAAGAATTTAGGAAAACCTGAAGCAGGATCCAAGACAGGCTAATCCTATGGTTAAGCAACTGGCAACAGCTTGGGTGGGCCTGAAAGTTGGGTGGGGCCGGGCCTCAGGGAGTCACCAGGGCGGGGCCACCAGTGTGAGCCAGGTTGCTGGAGTCCCAGATATGGCGGCTGTCTGCCGCCCCCGGGAAGGGCTCACCAAAGGAACAAAGGCCTCTGAAAGCACATCTGTCCCGGAGAAAGCCCCCTCTCCCGCCCTCCCTCCAATGCCAACAGCTCAGTTCTTCCCTGTATGGGTCTGGCGCCCCTCGAGCTGCCTCCCCTCTGAGCTCAGAGGGAGCGAGTCCGATAAGTCCGTGCGCGGGCCCTTTAAGGAGCTGCCTGGGGCTCCAGCCACCTCAGCCTCCCTGAGCCTCAGTTCCTGCTGGTTTTTCCAGCCAGAAGTGATGGGGATTCTCTTCCTGGCACTGGAACCCTGAGTGGGGCACCTGGTGTGGGACGGGGACCCCCCCCAGTCCTCAGGAAGGACCTTCCTAGCCGAGGTGTCCTCCTGATTTTTATCCGCCACACGTGGGTGTGGGAGCAGCCCGTCCCCTCCGCCCCTCCTACCAGTCTCCATGTGGCTGCTGCTTTAATTCCATAGTTGTAGGACTGCCGTTCAGCACGATTTCAGGCGGTTTTGAATGATGGTTGTTCTGTACTTTAGTTGTAACTTTGATGTGGTTGCGGGAGGACAGATACCGGGGTTACCTACCTATGCCGCCATCCTGACCGGAAGCACACCTGTTCATATCTTTTGCCCATTTTAAAAGTGGGTCATTTTCTAATTGTTGAGTTTTGAGGGTTCTTTATATTATCTGGATAGAAGTCTATTATCAGATACGTAATTTGAAAAGGTTATCTGCCAGTCTGAAGAAAGTATTCTCTTCACACTGCCTTTCAAAGCGCATGTTTTAGTTTTGAAGAATTCCAGTTGTGCTTTAGGTGGTGTATTAAGAAATCTGCCTAACTAGCTTTTATATTTAGGTCACAGTTATCCATTTTGAGTTAATCTTTGTTTATGGTGTGAAAAATGGATTGAAGTTTATATTTTTTCAATATGGATGTGCAATTGTTCCAGCACTGTTTGTTCAAAATATAGTCCCTTCTCTACTAAATTGTCTTTTCACTTCTGTCAAAAATCACTTGGCCTGGCCGGTGTGGCTCAGTGGTTGAGCATTGACCCATGCACCAAGAGGTCGCCAGTTTGATTCCCAGTCAGGGCACATGCCCAGGTTGTGGCCTGATCCCCATTGGGGGGCATGCAGGATATGACCAGTCAAAAACATCTCATTGATGTTTCTGTCTCTCTCCCTCTCCCTTTTTCTCTCTCTAAAATCAGTAAAGAAAAAACATATTAAAAATC